TTGATTGTAATACAATGGTTTTATGAATTTAATATTTGATAGATTCATAAAAGCCAATTGAATTACAATAGATGAGAAAAAATGATAATAAGTAATAAAAAATAATATATTACCGTTTTTTGAGAATTTTTCAAAACTAAAAAAAAAATAAAAAATATGTTAAATATGTAAAAGGATTTTATTCCTTAAACACTCTAGAAGAAAAGCATCCTTAACCGAGTGAAAAAAAATTTTCTCTAGATTTTATATTAAATTTACGAAAAGTGGTTTTTTTCTCATTTAAAATACATAAGAAATTTGAAAGGCTTTGAGGCACGGGTTAATATTATTTTATTACGAAGAAAAAAAACAGGGGTATTTTTTTCCTACAAACTTCAATCCTGGGGGGTGAGGGCCAGAAAATTCCGACTTTTTTCTTCTTAACGTATTTTTGGACCACCCTACTGTGCATAGACTATGGAGCATGCGCAAGAATGTTTTTCGTAGACTTAGAGCGGAGTCAGTCTCCTCAAAAAGTTCAGTCTCTAAGTTAGTTCTAATACCGATCTCGAACTGGAAGGTTGTCTCCAGAATTCGATCTTCCCCAGGCGAGAACTGACGCTGGATTCAGGCTTTACGGAACCTTCGTTGAGGCTTGGTCAACATTGATCAAGCCTCGGTGGGACGGCGGAAGCAAGGTTGCTTCTAGCCATAATGTAACACTTATTTAAGACTGACGCTCCAGTCCTTGTTGAAGATTGGCGTTCAATGTTCAATCAATGCTGCGGAACCCTAATGCAGGACTGAAACAAGGCTGCTTCCACTGTTCCCAAATTTACGCGTCTCTCGCGCTCATTCAATATAATATGGATATATGAATTGTATAAAATAATAATAATAATTATTATTATTATTATTATAGTAATGAATATTATTGATATTATTTTTATTCATGTTATATGCGTTTGTTAATTTAATGGCATTAAGTTACTATTATAATAATTATATTATTATCATATAAATAATATATTACTAACAATAAATGTCATTTGAAATAGTAATATTAAAAAAATAATTTTAGTAAAAGAAAACAATTTTTCTGTTAATCGGTACATTTTTTTCTCGATTTTTCAGCAGACTTTTTAATATTATTTACAAACATATTTACATTTTTTATTCACAACACAACACACAATTTTATTATTAGATATAACGCTTAAAACAAAGAATGGAAAATATTCGCTCGCATGTGGGATCGAACTCACGCACCCCGCCCCTAACGCATACCGGAAGTTCTAAACGCACGCATTTAAACCGCTCGGCCACAGAAGGCTGGAAGGCACCTCGCCTAATCTACTATTTCAATGCCAGCGCCGTATATTCTGTATATACGGCGCGTCACTCAATATTTGTTCAGCATGGGACACCAATGTTCGTCCCATGCTCGATTCAAGACTCGGTCAATCTTGATACAATATTCAGTTTCTTTATTACCGTGTGCACTGTACAATATTATCTATAAATATTTATAAATTATTTAATATTCAAATATTTTTTATGATAATTTTATAAGTTAAATTATATATATTTTTTTTCTTGTACAGTGTCAAATTATTATTTTCAAAGATTAAGAGTTTCGTTTATCTGAAAAATTATTAGTGAAAAAAATGTTCATTAGGTAGTGATAAATATTTATGCTTAGTAATTTTACACTAGGATTGACTGTTTAGTAAATATTATCAAAAAACTATTTTTTGGCAAACACGCGCAGCTAAACACAAATAACCTTGAAACTCCAGCATTACCAACTCAACACATACGTTAAACTCTTAAGTTGGCAATGCTAAAGTCTCAAGGTTATTTGTGTTTAATCACACGCGTTTGACAAAAAATAGTTTTTTGATAATACATATTTACTAAACAGTTAATCCTAGTGTAAAACTACTAAGCATAAATATTTATTACTACCTAATGAACATTTTTTTCACTAATAATTTTTCAGATAAATGAAACTCTTAAACTTTGAAAATAATAATTTGACACTGTACAAGAAAAAAATAATAATGTATAATTTAACTTTATTTATATAAATCTTATATAATTAATAATAATAATAATTATTATTATTATAATAATAGAAAAAATAATATTTAATATTTATTTTTAATTTAATATTTTTTTATAATAATAATAATAATAATAATTATTATTATTAATAAATTAATAATTAATATAAATATTATACACTAAATAAATATTAATATTTATTTACCAATTGATATCTTAATAATAATAATTAATAATAATTTTTAAATAGTATACAAAATTATCATAAAAAATATTTTAATATTAATTAATTTATAAATATTTATATTTAATATTTTTAAGTGCACACGTCAATAAATAAACTGTCAAGATTGATTCAGGCTTGAATTAAGATCAGATGTTCGAGCTTCACTCACGAAGATTGACCGAGTCTTGAATCGAGCATGGAACGAACATTGGTGTCCAATGCTGAATCAACATTGAGTGACAGTGGTATAAAGACTGCTTCAACACTGGGTTACTCAGGCTGGGCGTTCAAGGCTCAATAAATCTTCAATCCATCGTCAGCATTGGTCTTTCGCGCCTGGGTCTGTATACTTTCTCTTTTTTAATAATAAATTCTTTGGGTTTTAATCTCGAAAAGATTGGATTAATAATTAATTAATATTATTAATTATTAATTGATCCCTTCGCTTTCGAGAGGATTTTCCCTCCGTTTAATGGAAATTATAGTTGTTTTATTTTGAATATTTCCCGGTCCTCTTTAGAGGTTTACATCGAAAGAAATTCGACCAACCGCTTTATACTAGAGGAGTTTGCGCAATATGTGCTAACTTCGCTCGTAACAATTTCAATGCTAAAAAAGGATCGTATTCGGTGGACAAAAAAAGATTGAGTCAAACGTCCCAATACGGTTTTTACACAAATCCGCGTATTGGCTCAGAGCTACTGACAATTCCTAACGGAATATTTTTTTATCCTTCTTTGGATCCTACCATGAAGTAAGACTAAGGAGTATCATCTCCGGGAGTGGGGGTAACACTGAAAATTTCTGAAAGTTCGAGACTGCACGCCAGATGCATGAATTGGGGATTCGAGTGTGACATGCGCATAACTCATTTTCTGTGCAGGCAGATTTGAAATAAATGATAGTCTCTTTTGAAAGTTACTCTCAGTAATTTTTAAAAATATTTATATCAACAAAGAATTTTAATTTCTAATTCCCAAATATATATTTATAAATAATTTTTTTATTCACATTATAAACTTTTCTTTATACTTATTTTTTCTTACTATATACTCTTTTTTTCTTAATTGCTATTTCTTGCGATGGTAAACATGGTTGAGCCCTAGGTTTTTCTATTCTTTCATTACAATTTGAGACGGTCAGTTTCGCTAATTTTCTACTCTCTTGAGTCTTTAATTTTTCTATATTATCATTTCCTGGTCATAAAAAACAACTTTGAAAATAAATTATTATTCCATAGATATTGAGATTTAAAAAATAATTCAAATTTTAAATCCTTTAAAATAGAATAATTTTTAAGAATTGCTGCTGAAACTTATTAAAAATTATTTTTAAAATTTCAATTCAATTATTTTCTAGAAATTGTAACTAAAATATTTCTAAAATCTACTTGTTAACAAGACAATTTCATAAAATTTTGAATAATTTGAAAGTTTTTCAATTAAATATTATATATTTAAAAATATAATTAATTTGAAAAAATGTGAATAAAAATATTTCAAAAAACTAACTTATTCAGAATTTCTAATTAAAATCTTTTACAATTCAACTTTTCTAAAACTTCAATTTGAAACTTTTTAAAATTCAATTTATACCTATTAATATTAGTAATATTAATTTAACATTTCTATTTTATGAGTCTATTGACCTATTTTTGAACCTAATTCGATAAAAAATTTCGAAATTACTGGTATTTTAAATACCAAAAATTGTAAAAAATGCCATTTTCTCAACTTTTTTGTTTGAAAATTTTTGTTTAACTAAAACAATCACTTTTACAATATTTATAAAAAGTTATTCATATATTTCTATTATTTTTATTCCTATGAGGAAGTAAAGTGTTCATGAAATGAGCACCAAAATTTTAAAAAAATATACAACTTAGCAGCGGTTTTTTATTATTTGTAGACTTGCAAAATTTCAGAAAGCACTTTCATTTTTCTGTAATTTACTATAAAACTGTATACACTTGTCACAAGATACAAACAAACTGATAGGAACAACATTGTACTTAAGACGCTCTCACAGCTCTGCATGCATGCCAATGCATGCATAGTTGTCATGGTAACACATGAGAGTAAGTAAGTCAGAAAATTCAAATTTCATGTTTTTTCTCTCTTACTCTCATGCTGGCAGTAGAGCTGTGCGAGCGCCTTTAAATGTAAACAAATTTTTTTCAAACAGATAATTTTTCAAATTTGCGACTACTGCGCATGTCACACTCGAATCCCAAATACTTGCCTGTACCGTGCTGCCTCGAACTATTGGAAACTTTTAGTTCCACCTGAACTGTACCCCCACTCCCGAAGATGATACTCCTTAGTCTTACTTCATGGATCCTACATAGCTTTCCTCACAGGATGTCAATAAAAGCAGGATCCCATGCAGGTCCCTACGAGGGAAAACTTTTGTGAAATATACAGGAACCAGCGAGGAACCCCAAAAATCAAGGTTTCCAAACGGGTTCATATGCAGGTTCCTACGCACAGGATCAGTTATGGTTCCTTTGAGGATCCTGTACGGAAATTTTAAGCTGGGATAAATGCAGCACAAAGTGGTTAATTTTCTGCAATTTTTATGCAGAAAAGTGTACTTTCGAAGTTACTACGACGAATTCATCGTAACTTTTGATTATTCCAATACGCCGCAGAATTGCTTACATTCAGAAAAAACAAATTTTTTATATATTTCACTCATTTATGAATGATTTAATTAGTTGATTCCTTACCATTTTCTGCAACAGTTATTTGAGCTGCACCAGTGTTTGTGCTTTTCTTTCTTTTTGCGTAGGTGACATCTATACCTTCAAATTTTAATTTATCAATATATTGTTGTCCTAATTCATCTGAACCTAACTGGAAAAATTACACTTGAATTAGTTAATTATTTGCAAGCAGATCATTATGATCAATATAGTTATAGAGCATAATTTGAAGCTGAGAATGGTTACATCCCACTATTATTATAGCACTATTATTTCTGAAAATATTCGATATTATTATTATAATTTTTAAATAAATTACATGTTTTTCCTGTAACTAATAAAGGAATAAATTAGATTCGCACTATTATATAAATAAAATACCGCTGCAAAGTCAAAGCTGAAATTTCTGTTTTTATTTCTTGAACACTTTGCCTATTCATGGAAATTTTTATTTTATTAATATTATGTTTTGTATTGTTGCTATACATTATTATAATTTAATACCAAAAATCACTTTTTAAAAATTCCCAATTTTCAGAATGTCAAAAACTTCTTAGGGTGCAGTCCCATATGAGCAGAATTGTAAAACCAAAAGGAGAAATTTCATGAGTGTGAGAAAAATAGTCTGCCCCCTACTGAAAATTCCCACAAGGGATCCTACATGAGATCTTACCTGGGTTCTTATACAAATACCTGTATAAAATTTCAGAGCCCACGTAGAATCCACATGGGATCCCATGTAAAAGCACATGTATATTTGGGACACGATTTGAAGCAGGAATTCATGTGGGAATTTGAGTTTGTGTATCTACATAAAAATCAACATGGATTCCTATGTGAGAATACATATAGGATTCCATAAAGGATTCCATAAAGGATTTCATATGGGTTTTCATGTTACAAATATAAGATTTCACATAGAATTTCACAAAATATTTGATATTTTATTACATTAGGGATCCATTGTGCGAATTTTCAAAGGATTACAAATTATTTAATTAAAAATTAAATAACAAATTGTATTAGCATTTCAAATCATCAGTAAGAAAAAAATTCGATAATTTGAAACACTTCTTCTGAGCTATAAACTCTCAGTTATATAGTGTTCAAAAATCATGTTAACAGGGGGATTCTGTATTATTAATAAAAAAAACCACGTGAGATCCTATGTAAGATCCCACGTGGAAAATTACATGGGAAATAACATACGATCTCACCTGGGAATTCATATAATTTTCATTCCTATGTAAAATCCTACGTAAGTTCCCATGTAATTTCCCGTATATGAAACCATATGGGATCTTACGTAAGATTTTACATATAGGAATGAAAATTATATGAATTTCCAGGTGAGATCGTATATTATTTCCCATGTAATTTTCCACGTGGGATCTTACATAGGATCTCATGTGGTTTTTTTTATTAATTATAAGGGAAGTGTTCCGGTTGTGGGCACCCTTTTGTTTTTGCCTCATAACATTTGTCCATGTGCATATTATTCAAATATATGTGTACGAATTTAAAGCTAGAGGTCTAAGGTGACTGTCAGTGAAGGAATTAAATTGATTCCTTTAAATAAAAAAGTTTTATTAGAAATTTAGTGAAATGGGAATTTTTTGACAAAAAAAATTTTGTACCCGGTTGTGGGCACCCTTGAAAAATCCGCTAAAAATGGAAAAATATTAAAGGAAACCAACACAAATAAAGAAGAAATGAAAGTTTCTTTATTTTAAGAGAATTTGCCGGGATAAAGAACAAAAATGATGACACGTTTTCACACTATGCTCATCGCTAACAAAAGCATAATGCTTGCATGTGAAGTAGCTAGTACTCATAACATAACGCACTTCTAATGCACTGAACGACTATATTCATCGCATTTAATGGAGTTTGCGGCTGTCACTTTCCTTGGCAGAAAGTTTAGACAGATGAGACAGTAGTCCTCATCATTGTCAGATGGTAGAGCCTCCTTAACATAAAGGTGCCCACAACCGGGAATGACAGTCATTTTTTAAAAAGACCAACACATTTTGTGATGCAGGATTTTGGTTAAACACGAAGGTAAATCACAAAATATAATGACAACACTGCAAAAAAAAATTAAACCCTTTTTTTCTGAACGAATCTACACCCATATGTTGCTCTTCGAAAACAATACAAAATTACTTTTTTATTTATTTAATGCAAATTTTCTTTATTATGCTCACAGCTATTACACAAATGCATATATTTGTTTCGTTATCAATACGAAAAGTCCGTATTGTCAACGAACACGACTTGCAATACTTAGTTCAGTAAAGTCTGCTTGCCGTCGAAGTTTACGTAGGGGTGCCCACAACCGGAGGGTGCCCACAACCGGCGCACTTCCCCTACAGAATACCACAGTTCATATACTTTCACCGCCAGGTGGCGAGAGCGACTTCTCCCCCTGTTAACATGATTTTTTAACACTATATAACTGAAAGAATTTTAGGCAGGCTGCTGGCTTTTCATGTCCGAAATTAGTGCCCCTTGCACAGGGCTCGCAGCTCACCTCAAAAAAGCGAGCATCTACTCCCGAAAGGTGAGCAGCTGCCCCTGAGGAGTTGCTGCTTACCTTTCGGGAGTAGATTCTCGCTTTTTTGAGGTGAGCTGCGAGCCCTGCAAGGGGCACTAATTTCGGACATGTAAAGCCTGCAGCCTGCCCAAAATTCTTTCAGTGTAACTGAGAGTTTATAGCTCAGAAGAAATGTTTCAAATTATCGAATTTTTTTTCTTACTGATGATTTGAAATGCTAATACAATTTATTATTTAATTTTTAATTAAATAATTTTTAATCCTTTGAAAATTCTCACAATGGATCCCTAATGTAATCACATATCAAATTCTTTGTGAAATTCTATGTGGATTCTTACGTGGGATCTGGGATTTTATACAGGTTTTTGTATAAGAACCCACGTAAGATCCCATGTGAGAATTTTCAGTAGGGCCCCTAGGAATCGTAGGACCTTGTCGTTATTAGGGTGGCTTATGGGTCCATTAAAAAGAGCAGAATTGGCTGTGAGCGAACAGAATTGGTGGCTGACACAAGGAACTTTCTCCTGGTCATGCAGGTCTCTGAGAGTCAAGCGAGGGCCATAGAGGCTCTAGAATTCAGGTCGTACTACCATCTGGGGCGGGTAACTTATTTGAAAGTAATTGAGGGCTCGGATCCAAGAACCGACGCTTGACAAACGCGCAGGTCCCCTGCGCAGCTGGAGGCTGTCTCATTCAGGGGACACAGAACAGCGAAGCGTCGGTTCTTCGATTTATTATTAACCTCGGCTGCACATTCTGCAATAAAAAATACGTCAAGAAAGGCAATTGAAAAATTAACTAAACACTTACATTTTGTTCGAGAGTGTGGACAAATATATTTTTTGGAATTTTCACTGTTTTTTGCTTTTTTGACCACTTTATTTTTCGAAATCATGATTTTTGAATTCGGCTGCACATTCTACGACGAAAAATACATCTAGAATGGAAATTAAAAATTATCTAAATGCTTATAGGGGAAAGGTGTACGAGATGATCCCCTGGGGCAAGATGATCCTTTTGAATTTTGGAGAGCCTATTAATGCCACCTTTTAGGCAAATACGATAATACGTTGCCAATGACATACCTATGAATCAGTCAAACTGCCATGACAACACGCGTCATTAAAAAAATTCTATTGGAAAAAATAAAAATTTCATACTTTTGATCTAAGGAAAGCTTAAGGGGTCTTGTAACTTTTTTAGCCATTAAAGTCGGAAGTTTTTAAAAAATTTTTTGCTTATGAGTTTTAAAATATAATTGATCAAAAGTTTTTACATGTCATTGTGTATGTTAAGAAGTCTTAAAAAAAGAATTTCAAATTTGAAAAAACATAAGTATCTTCCTTCTACAGAGGGCGCTTTGGCCACTAGTAAAAATTACTGGTTGTCATTGTATGATTGGTTGTCCAAGATGATCCTTTTGTAAGGTTTTAGAAAAATTAAATTTAACAGTAAAATATTAATTAGCTGCTTTATATTAGCCTTATTTAAAATCAGAATAGTTAGATAGATTAATTATCTAGTAGTGCGTACAAAAAAAACTCGAATATGTTGATCTTTCTTTGAAATTCTACGACCGTATACGTTTAGAAGGTTACCACAAGAATCAGTTTTCCAAATTCCCTGACATTTCCCTGACTTCAAAAAAATTTCCCTGTAAAAATTTTATTTACAGATAACATCCCTGGTAAAAATTTTGGACTAATTCCGGATTAAATACGGACATCTTAGTACACGGAGAAAAAATGCTGTTGAATTAATGACATATGGGTTTGATTCATTGAATAGTGTCATAACGGGCTGCCTAACGTATATGCTGTTGTTTTGAAAGCACCGATTCTAATGATTCGATAGTATCTCTTTCTTTGAAACAAAAGCATATTTCTCAAATTGACAGCATACTATGTTAATTCGAAGGTATTCTTTTTGAATCAATGAACAAAATTTTTTAATTTAACAGTATATGCTTTTGAGTCAATGACTATAATTTTTTAATTTAAGGGGTTAAACCACTCTAGAGCGTCAAAAAGAGGTTCTAATTTCAACGTTTTTTTTTAAAGGAAAGTTTAAAAGTAATGAGAAATATGTTTACATATCTCTATCAGGTACAATTTAAAGAGAAAAAAATATACTTTATAAATTTTTTTTGTTTAAAAACAGCAGATGTATATGTACGTGATGGAAATCCTTTGTAAAAAGGATTCCTTCGCAGCCGGAAAGGTTTTTGGTACAATTTTCATCCTAGAACAGAAAATAAATTTTTTTCTATTTTTACATCTCAAAAGCTAGAGAAAGACGTAGGGGATTTTTTTTAAATCGATTTTTGCAAAAATGGTGAACATTTTATGGAAAAACTGAGATTTTGACTGAAAAAATAGGCTCTAAATTGTTTATAACTAAAAAAATATGCAACATAAAAAAAATCTCCTACGTCTTTCTCTAGCTTTTGAGATGTAAAAATAGAAAAAAATTTGATTTCTGTTCTAGGATGAAAATTGTACCAAAAACCTTTCCGGACGCGAAGGACTTCTTTGTACAGAGGGTTTCCATCACGTACATGTACATCTGCTGTTTTTAAACAAAAAAAATTTATA